ACAATAGTGTTGTTTAACATCAGGTGTTACAATGATCAGCGCGATGATCGTGTCCAGGTTTCCACAAGAGTTGTAAGATCTTAAAGGAGTTTGGAACGAGTTGTTGAAGATTTGGGAGAAGATCGATGAAAATGAAAGAGCAACCTTGGTTGTCAGTACAACCGCGCAAGGTAGATCATCACTTGCAATATAATATGATTTGAATTTAATGATAATGATTGACTTTGCAGTTGTGGTAATGTTGTGCTTTTATGACTTTTTAACGTTTCTACTTCAAATATACGTTTGTATTATTATTTCATATGTAGATATGTAGATGTTTAATTTATGTTTAAAGTACGTATGCTTTTTCATTTAAATTTAGATACGTCAATCTCTTTGATGCTTTGTTGAATCAACTAAAGAATTTCCCTACTGTCTTAAACAGTATTCATCTTATGAATACGTACAGAAACTACTCAAAGGTTACGAGAAGGTATGAAGATTATCTTGTTGTATAACATACATCTCGCTGCTTCGCTTGACATGTTTCACACTCTACCTAACATCTTTTAAGGCAAATGTTGTTGAATAACATACATCTCGCTGCTTCGCTTGACATGTTTCACATTCGACCTAACATCTTTTAAGGCAAATGTTGTTGAATAACATACATCTCGCTGCTTCGCTTGACATGTTTCACACTCTACTAACATCTTTTAACGCAAATGTTGTTGAATAACATACATCTCGCTGCTTCGCTTGACATGTTTCACATCTGACCTAACATCTTTTAAGGAAAATGTTGTTGAATAACATACATCTCGCTGCTTCGCTTGACATGTTTCACATTCGACCTAACATCTTTTAAGGCAAATGTTGTTGAATAACATACATCCTGCTGCTTCGCTTGACATGTTTCACACTCTACCTAACATCTTTAAGGCAAATGTTGTTGAATAACATACATCTCGCTGTTTTGTTTGACATGTTTTACACTCGACCTAACATCTTTTAAGGCAAATGTTGTTGAATAACATACATCTCGCTGGCTTGACATGTTTCACACTCGACCTAACATCTTTTAAGGCAAATGTTGCTGAATAACATACATCTCGCTTCGCTTGACATGTTTCACATCTGACCTAACATCTTTAAGGCAAATGTTGTTGAATAACATACATCTCGCTGTTTTGCTTGACATGTTTCACACTCGACCTAACATCTTTAAGGCAAATGTTGTTGAATAACATACATCTCGCTGCTTCGCTTGACATGTTTCACACTCGACCTAACATCTTTTAAGGCAAATGTTGTTGAATAACATACATCTCGCTGCTTCGCTTGACATGTTTCACACTCTACCTAACATCTTTTAAGGCAAATGTTGTTGAATAACATACATCTCGCTGCTTCGCTTGACATGTTTCATGTTTCAAAGATTACATTCGGCTTTTCATAACGTCGAGGTACTTTTTATGAAAATTTGCTGAAGCATTAGTAGCTACGTTTGTCCATTATTTAATTTTCGCCCTATCTCTTTGAATGTTTTTTCTTTGTTATTCTTGTTCAGTTTACCTATGTACAAATATTATGTTGCGTATGTACAAAGGCAAGTGTCTTCGGTAATTTTAATTTCCTAAAGGAAATAACTTACGCCAAGTTTCTCACATCACATGATACAGTAAGCATCATTTCATTTTCAGCTGTAAAATATGAATATTCCATTGAGATAGTGATCGCTTGTTTTATTAAGTTATTGAATTTTCTTATTAAGGTTGCTTGATATTGATTTTGACAATGGGTTTTTGTGAATTATGTTGAAGAATTCCCCAAAAGGTGGTGATGGATGGAACAACTCTTGGAATACAGAAAACTTTCTTACCAAATAATTTAAGAGAGTCTGATACTGATTGCTACATGGAAGACAAGCTCAACATGAGACAAAATTACTTTGCAAGTAAAGTTCTATAAAAGGTGATAGATTTTTCATTTGTTCAGATCGTCTTCAGATGTGCTATAATATATTAATAATTAGTTCTAATATTGTATTTTCAGACTATTGATGGCTTTTATGAAAAAGTGAAAAGCACCGAGTTTAAAGGAGCGATGTTTTTGGCTTTATATAGAGGAAAGGTATGAGAGGAATATTGTCCGATACATTGTTTTGGAGCACTAGTTTTCTTTATAAATATTATAGTCCACAGTTAATCTTGTAGTTTAGTTGATCGAACATTGAAGACAATGATCAAGTTAATCCTGTAGTTTAGTTGATAGAACATTGAAGACAATGATTATCTTGTTACTATACTCTGAGTACATCACAGCAACGTGATGTTATTATCTATGATATTAAAGTATGAAAGAAACTAAAACTGTGTTTTGAAAAATCATCATAGTCCAATGTTGTTGTTGTAGTTCAGTTGGTAGAACATTGAAGACAATGATTATCTTGTTGCTATACCTGAGTACATCAACAACGTAATGTTAATATCTCTGATATTAAGATATGAAAGAAACTAGAACAAATCACGGATATGGTAGATTTCAAATAAAATATCCCATTAAGACATTGTTAGTTGAAATATAAATAACAAGATTCCTTTCTTTACTTCCCCATTGCAAACAAGACTCCTCACCCTCCCTCCTACTGATTGTTTTGTTTATTGATTGATGTTCCGATAACCTTAGCGGTAGTCATCTTCAGAGTCAAATGAAGATGACTACCGCTAAGGTTGTCGAAACGTCAGTCAACAACAACAAAATAGTCCTTCTCAGGACTATACTAACCTGGACGATCTACATTTACAAACATGTAACATTAAACATCTTTGTTTCTTTTATAAAATAACAGTAATGAGAGACAGATGAATTAAAATAGATGTTTTATTAAACCTCTTATTTTATTATACCTCTTTAAAGCTAGTATCTTGTGTAATATCATCGCATTAAATGCTCGTTGCTGTGAATAACTTTGTTGGCAAGTACGTTACTACGTTACCGTTAGTCCGTCACTTTGTGGGGTCGCTTTATGAGTGACTACGAAGTTTCATCTTCCGCTAAAGTAGCTCATTGTGACTTAAACTATTTATATGTTTTCTAAACTTCAAGTGCTATTTTTAGTAGTGTTTTACTAAAACTGGAAATAGTTCCCTCAAAAGCAATTTTTTCCAGCCTTACAGCTGTACTGAAGATGACATCACAAGATGTTGAAATATTCGTTGTCATGTTTATTAAATGCGTATTGACGATTCGGCTTCTACGTGGCCAAAATTGCTTTATATATGCTGTTGTATGATTTATATCATCTGTTTTTTGTAGCTATCAAGATCATACAGAAGAAAAGTTAAAGGAAAAGACTGAGGATGATGCTGGAAAGTAACGATGATGGCAAAGAATCCGATGGCAATGTGCTGGAAAGTAACGATGAAAGCTCTGTAAAGAAAACATTGTAAAAAATGTTTCTCACGTGGAATATTAAAGTCAGAAAATAATGCTATGGCAAAATATAGAGTTTGAAATTTGAAGCGATATAATCTGTGTAATGCAAAAGTATTTTACCGTTGGGTGAGGTGAGGTGTGGGGAAGGGCAGTCAGGCATTAAATAGTACTTAGTAATATGACCGATTTTCCAATTGGTCAATCAGACCATAGGCGTCTCAATCATTTAGCTAGCTAAATAGATTAAACAAATACATTAAACTCTCCTCGTTTCATCGTAACAGACCGCGCACCGCAAACTTCTGTTTCAATGTTACGGTCTGTTGCAATGAAATGGAGAGAGTTATCGTTAATTATACAATTTAGCTAGCTATGTGATTTTTTGGGCCACCTATGATTAGACCATACCGATAAACAACTATTTTCTCTTTGCATTTTTCTCTGCTCTAGGAAGTATATGTATAGGGAGGGTAGCGAGTGGAAAAACAATGGAATTTTTGCCTTGTTGGATAAGGAAAATCCTTATTTTCAAAATCGTTCAACATTCGTGTAACGTCCAAGCGGCCATTTTGTTAGGTTACTTTAAAACCGATGCTCAACAGAACCTTGAAATCAACATAACTTTTTAATACAATATCAATTCTAAAATATAAATTGTCATCCAGCGTTATACTGATAGAATGTTTCAACAGGATTGATGGAAATGGGGAAAGACTTATCGAACAGTTTTCTGGTTATTTTACAATTTAATTAGGTTTAAGTCATTGAACTAAATAGAACTATTTAATTCAATGTTTAAAAAATGGTTAAATGGTTATTTATTTTATGGTATAAATTTATTAAATTATTTTAGCACGTCACGTGACCTAACTTTGGTGTTTTTCAAAATGGCGGTAAATTTTGAAGCTCTTTGTAGTCGAAGACATACAAACCTTATTTATGTGAAAATGTGAGCCTTTTCATTTAGCTTTCGAAATATCAGTGATAAATATTCGCGGTGTGGAAATTGCTTTTCCGTTTAAGCCTTACGATTGTCAAATAAAGTACATGGAGAAGGTCATTCAGTGTTTGCAAGAGGTAAAAGTTTGACAATGTCGTAATTACGTAATGAATGCTGATTTATTGAGTAAAAACGATTTCTGAGAAACATTGAGTCAACAACGACCAGACTTGCATGTATTCATTCAAATTCAATGATTTGTAAGAATGGCATTCTCGAATCTCCAACTGGTACTGGTAAAACACTGTGCTTGCTCTGTAACATTGACTTATGACATACAAATCACATTTGCAACTCAGCAACTGAATACCAAAGTAAACAGAAAAAGCAAATGGCAGGTTTTATGAAAACTTAAAGGAAAACTAGGTCAAGCCGCTATTGGTCAGATGATGATGATGGAAACCCAGGTTGGTTTTTAGTTTGTTTTTTTTACTCTCCCAGTTTGACATATTCGTATTAAGATCTTCATGTTAAATGACCATCTAGACTGGAAGGTTTGTATTGGCACATAGAATGTGCAACTTTGAAAAATAGTTTTACGCGGTGCAGATTTTCAATCTCAGGTGCGGTTTACAAACTTTCTGTCTGTATGACTTTGTAAAGTTTCCACTTTGACAAATGGCTGATTGCTGAAGTTCCTGTTGTTATATTACATTGATATGTAAATATTTGTGTGTGATAAATTACAGCCTACTATGGGAATTTTGGGATAAGGTGCCTAAATAACCTCAAAGTGACCATGTATTGTGTGTAATTTGACAATGTTTACAAATAACAATTCACCTGTTTTCAGACTACGGCGCCAAAATCATATATACCTCAAGAACACATTCTCAGCTTACACAGGCAGTTAAAGAACTCAAAAACAACATTTATAAGTGAGTATCAATTTTCCTGCATGCATTCTTGTCAGGCATCATATCTGAACTTCCAAATCTTGGTGCTGTTTGTTTTATTTTTAAACTATAGAATGATTCAGTCTAACTGTTGAGTTTATAAAGTAAATGGTTCGAACCCGGGAGTATTGTTACATGTTTGTAGATGTAGATCGTCCATGTTGGTAAGAAGCAGATAACAAATACGCTAACCTGGCGCTACTCTACATTTGACTCTGAAGATGACTACCGAAGGTTGTCAAACGCCAGTCAACACCAACAAAAATAGTCTTTGTAAGGATTATACTAACCTGGATGATCTACATTTACAAACATGTTTAGTTTATGAAATGTTCATTAGTTTGTTTTCAAGACCTAAAGTTTGTGTCTTGGGATCTAGAGAACAACTTTGCATTCATCCACAAGTTGTACAACAAGAAACCCATTCTGCTAAGGTTAGTTAAAAGTCATTAGTCCAAGGTTGGTTATTAATTTCAGTTTACTCTCAATACTGCCATGGACATTTAATTAGCATTTATGTCTCAATTAAGATACTGTGGCCATCTGACCATTGTTTTATCAAGACACTCTGCCTGTATCCAAGAATTATTCTTAAATGTGCACTCTCTGTATCTCTTCAAACTTTTCAGATGCAGTTGTGTCGCTAAAGTTGAAATCAAGAAATGTCACTACTATAATAATTTAGAAAAAGGTAAAAAGATTAAAAGAAACTATGAAAGAGTTTTGGCTAAAAGAAACTATGTTGAACTGTGTTTTAAAAATATCATCATAGTCCACAGTTGATCTTCTAGTTCAGTTGGTAGAACATTGAAGACAATGATTATCTTGTTACTATACCTGAGTACATCACAACAACGCTTATGTTATTAACTATGATATTAAGGTATGAAAGAAACTAGAACTGTACTGTCTTCTTAAGTCCAGTGTGCGAATTAACGGTGTGCAATGTGCAATTTCCACATCGCTTTAGCTAAAGGAAAACAATTGCACATCACTTTTCAAACGATTTGCAAAAACGTCTTTATTTATTACTACCATATAAATTGAAAAAATTTTCAAGCTTAATCTTTACTGATCTTTACTTTATGAGTGTGCTGCACTACATTATTATCCATGTTGGCACAATGTCATCAAATTCAAAGACGCTTGTCACTTTGAGACTTGAGGTCTGTCAACAGTCAACATACATGGTGCTGTTTGGAATCGCATGATTTCGCTCTTTCCTTCGACCTGTGTGCGCTGTTTTTATCTGATGGCAAAATGATAAATTTATTCTTGGTAAAAATATTGATTATATGTTTTATGGTTTTAAGTGTTCAATCTTAAACCTCGATTTGCATTTGTCTTTTCAACAGACTTTCATGTTCTCAAAATTGCAACCACATCGGTCAATTCAGGTGAAATCTCATTCATTCTGGTCGAAGAAAAGAAAATGGTATAACAATGATAAATATGCAAGATGTTGGGTGGAAGAGAGCAACCTCAGTTAAGATACATCAAATCATTGAGACCTTTGACAAGGACGATTGCTTGTATTTGGGAGTCAACTTGTGAGGACGAAGACAAAGCTATCTTGTACTCCAACATCTAAATTGTAAGAAAAAAAAACAATGATTAGACAAACAGGCTTCATATCCCATTTATGTAAAAAAATTCACAGAAATAATGTCTCACTTACCATTGCTTCCTCTTTCCTATTCAAAATTCTAAATAATCAACAAAATAAGATGTTTTATGTCTTTCATTATGGTATAATGCTATCGATGATGAATTTTAGGTACCTGAGAAGTTTGATGACTTCATCGTGATCAAAATGCGACTTCAAAAATGTGACAATGTGGTTTGCTGCAACAGGACGCTCTCTTTATTTCACCAACATATATATCTATGAACAAGAGCTTGATGAGGCTATACCACTAGCAGGTTCGCTAGGAAGTGAATAAGGCTAGCCATTTGGCCTTGGGTTTTCAATCTAGAGCTCCTCTAAACCCAGAGCTCCCCTCTCAATCTAGAGCTCCCCCAACATTTGAGCAAGGCTCCTTGAAGTTTGAAAACATAATTGTGAAAGAACAAATAACTCATGATAACAGAGTTTCTTTCTAACTATTAAATAGCTATGAAGTATTTCAATATGAACTTAATTCATTGAATACTTAGCAGCAAAGAAGAATGTCTGTTATCTGCAGTTTAGTGTGTCAAAACATTTGCAGTTACAAGGCTGCTGAGCAGAAATTTCAAATCATGATGTAATATTGCTACGTGAGGAAATTTTGTGCCAAGCCCTGAAATTTCTGTCAACAGCCCTGATGACATATACAGCACAGAGTCAACTGAGCATAATTACTTGGTTTGATGGTCTTCTTGAAAAACAGCAAGATCTAAAATGAGAGATCAAAAGATGAGGGAAGAATGCAAGAGAAAAAGATGAAGAAATTTACTCTTGTTAACACATCTCCATCACCAAGTTGGATGGCCACATCCAACAATGCCAGCTTCTCTTCTAATGATCTATGAATCTCCAAAGCACATGGCTACAGAAATATGAAAAGGATAGAAATCTCTTCCAGCACAAATAGAAAGATATGAGACACAACCTCGCTCATCATCAACTTCTTGACAGTTTCTTCTGGCAATGGAGATTTTCTATTAAGTTTACTAAGACCCTGAAATTATATGGAAAATTTAACTGGTTTGAAATTTGAAGGGAGCAACACTTGTAAGGCAATGCTCATGAACAAGATTTTGAATGATAAAATCTTTGTCATTGTTGATCATTCAGGTTAGTACAGTCCTAAGGACTGTTGGTGTTGAATGACATTTCAACATCCTTAGCAGTAGTCACCTTCAGAGTGAACACAGTCTTTTCTCTTGAATTTGAAGATGACTAACACTAAGGATGTTGAAACTTCAGTGGTCACTCATCAACGGCCTTTTCAAGACTGCATTAACCTCATCAACATCCATTTATGATGAAACTATCAAACTTGAATACTAATTTTTTACATACGAAGTCAAGCAACGACAATCCTGTCAGCAATGACACCTAGTCTTGGTGACATTTTCTATTGTGAATTTTGTCTTTCCACCTTTCCAAAGCAACACCGCAGCAAGAAGGATGCCCCCTTCAAAGGCTTCACTGCAATTTAAATGAATAAATGTTGTGAAAAATTAGATTATAGCCTAACTTGAAAAAAATTGTTGCAACACATCAATATGTCTATGTTCATCAATTTACCCCATACAACACCATAATACTAAAAGAAGAGACTAAACTAATGTCTAAGGAAATGGAAAAGATGACTCATCATTTCTTAATTACAATCATACAATATAACCAATATAATATACCATCAGTGACATCAAATGATTCCAAAAACAAGTCATCCAATCTGATCAAAGCTAGGGCATCCTAAAGATAAGGTAAGCCAAAACTGAATTTCAAATTCCGGTTTTCAAAAATTTCACTTACAACATCATCCAGTTTTCAGAAGGTATGAGATAGAGCTGATGTCATAGAGACGTTGTACACTAACTTTGTACAAACATCTCTCACAATTAGCATGGCAGAACTCATCATAAAACTGGAAAACCCCTTGAATAATTCTGAAAGACATGCGGTTATATAAGACAGGACATTAATGCTGATGTTTTGAATACAAAATACTCACCTCAACTTCAAAACCCAAATGAATGCATGGACAAAGTCTTCAGCCTGTATTGCACCAAAATCCTTTGTTTCTTTACATGTCTAAATGAAATTAAAAACATCCCAATGACTAAAAGTCTTTAATTCCCATTGTTCAAAATTAGGATGGCTGGTGGAATTGGCACAGTTTGAAAATCTTGAAATGTGTGCTATATTATATCAGTGACACGAACTACCCTTTGGCAATACTACTACTACTATGAAGAAATGTATTACTAAAATTTTGTCAATAAGGGCTCTTCATATATATCACAACTACTCAGGGCTCCTTTATCTATACAATCGCTTCCAAAACATTACATATTATGATTACAATCGGCAATGGTTCATTTCTAGTCAACAAAATGAAAAGACTACCTTTATTTCAACAGCTCTTGAGCGAAGATTGAATCGTATTTGTAAATGCAGTGTTCAACGACAGGAGGAAATATTTTCAACCAGTTTCTTTAACGGCGTGTATCTGTTTGGCGGGACAGGAATCGTTCGTCTTCAACCTGACCGTTCTAAATGATAAACAGGAAAATCAACTGGCGAATCGCGCACGTGGTTACTGATTGCATAGAGTTTGATTAATAACACAAACCGATAAGCTCTCGCCTGACAAAGCAGGAAAATTTGGCTTTTAGCCGTAAATGTTGTATCCATTCAACTAAATCTTTCTACGTTTTCGTGAAACCGGTTGAAAATCTTTATTTCTCATCCATTTGCAAGACTTCTTCTCTGCCGTGGCATGACCATCCTCCGCCATGTTAAAAAGACCGCTTGTCAGAATGTCAGACACGTCATTGTTGGTACTAAGGTATTCAGCATTAGTGAATGTGACTTTATAAAGTCGTGGACAATGTAAGGTCATGTGACAGACACTTTGTTGTTGGTACTCAAGGTATTCAGCATTAATGAATATGACTTTATAAGGTAGTAGACAATGTAAGGTCATGTGACAGACACTTTGTTGTTGGTACCAAGGTATTCAGCATTAATGAATATGACTTTATAAGGTAGTGAGACAATGTAAGGTCATGTGACAGACACGTTGTTGTTACTAAGGTATTCAGCATTAATGAATATGACTTTTATAAAGTTGTGAGACAATCTAATACATGTGACAGACATGTTGTTGTTGGTACTAAGGTATTCAACATTAGTGAATATGACTTTATAAAGTTGTGAGCCAATGTAAGGTCATGTGACAGACACGTTGTTGTTGGTACTAAGGTATTCAACATTAGTGAATATGACTTTATAAGGCAGTGAGACAATGTAAGGCATGTGACAGACACGTTGTTGTTGGTACTAAGGTATTCAACATTAGTGAATATGACTTTATAAAGTTGTGAGACAATCTAAGGTCATGTGACAGAACGTTGTTGTTGGTACTAAGGTATTCAACATTAGTGAATATGACTTTATAAAGTTGTGAGCCAATGTAAGTCATGTGACAGACACGTTGTTGTTGGTACTAAGGTATTCAACATTAGTGAATATGACTTTATAAAGTAGTGAGACAATCTAAGGTCATGTGACAGACACGTTGTTGTTGGTACCTAAGGTATTCAACATTAGTGAATATGACTTTATAAAGTAGTGAGCCAATGTAAGGTCATGTGACAGACACGTTGTTGTTGGTACTAATGTATACAGCATTAGTGAATGGGACTTTATAAAGTAGTGAGCCAAATGGTCATGTGAGAGAGACACGTTGTTGTTGGAAAACTAAGGTATAAGAATAGTGAATATGACTTTATAAAGTATGGAGCCAATGTAAGATGTTGAGCTTCTAAATTTCCTTATATGGCAGGCAAACTCCAAATATTTGAAGTTTCGTCTGGTTCATTGCTTGAACTGTGGACGCACACGATGGTGCTATTTGGTCGTTGTGTTTACCCGATAATGTAAGGAACTTTACTTCATTTTAAAAACATATTTTTGTCCAGTCGTTGGAAAGTAACATTTTGACAAAATTTGTGGACTGCCATGCCCTTTTAATATGCTTTCTTTCGATTATTTCTCTAACAGATATAGCAGCGTTTTTGTTGGCAAACTTTATATTCTGTTGCTGTTGTCATTTTGTAACTCCTTGAAGAGACAAGTGACGTATGCTTCACTTCTCTCCACCCCCCCGTCCTTATATATTCCATTCTTTCAGTGAATCGTTTCAGTTAAATCGTTCAGAGGGAGCTCAAGACTACCTTCATGTAGAAATGATGATTTTATCAATTTCTAGACGCTATTCGCCTCAGGAAGTGGTGACAAGGATGTAAAATTGTGGGAATTTGATTTGATTACGGATGAGATGTATTCAACGACAAGGTATTAAATAATTTGCATGTAAAGCAACGTTTCCACTCAACGTGATTTTTATCACTCTTTTACCATTGTAAGACGAAAATGTCCATTGTCTGTCGGAGAAAAATAACTTCATGTACTAATTCTAAAGCTAGTCTTGTAAAGTTTTTCTTTTGTTTTTCTTGTGCATATTTCATGATGTTTGTAAAGAAAAGTGGTTAAATGTGATCATCCATTTTGTTTGTTCAATCCTCAGCTTAACATTTTCCTTTCAGCTTAACATTTTATGATTCAATATTGTCTAATTGGTTTATGTATTTCTTTTACAATTGGGTGATTCATTTTGTATTATTTTGTTTAGTCAAAGATTAAGTATTTGTCATGCACGAACATTAAAGATGTGATGACGTAATGTGTAAAGTTCAGGTAAGTTGTTGCCTGCCTGGAGGGGGATATACGTATTTATGATCTTTCATTTAATCACGTGCCAACATTCTTCGTTGCAGTCCAAATCAAATGTTTATTGCCGTGGCTTTGCTTGATTTTACAATGAAAATTTTCTTCACTGATACATTGAAGGTAAGTTGTTAAATATTTTGTACGTAGTTGATGATATTGATAGCATTTGTTGGTATTGATAGCAGTTGATGATATTGATACATTTGATGATATTGGATAGCAGTTGTTAGAGTATTTTCATTTGTTGCTGTAGATCACTTTAAAGATGACCCTTGTACGAAATTCTCCATTTTTTCTATGAATCACGATAAAATGCTCTTTGAGTTAGAACTATTTCCTTTTCCTACAAAATTCACTAAAAAATTCACTCTTGTAAAAAGAAGGCGATATTTTGACTTTGCTAGTTACGTAACATTGGATTAATGTATGCTTTCCATCAACGTTATAATTTGACTTACAGAAGTCTCAAAAGTTAACTGAATAAATATTTTCCTGTCCATTTATCCTAATTAACTTTTGTATTCATTTTTAAATGGTTACTTTTCCCAAGCGTCGTTATTTAGTTCTTTTTCCTATCCTCTATGGTCATAAATTACCAGTGAACTCGACATTTGAATAACTGGAATGATAACCGAAGCCAAAAATTGAAGCCAAAAAAATTTTTGTCGTCATCATTCGTCATCACAGTCTCTCGCGTGTTCATTTTAATTTTTAAATCATTTGTCCCTTTGGTAATGGTAGAGTTCGATCTTGATCAGAGCGTAAAATAACGAAATTTTTGAATGAAAAGGTTCACGGAAAGTGAATCAAAGTGATAAATCGAGAAGCAGGGTGAGTAACTTAGTCGATCTGCTTTACGCTGCGGTTTTCCTTTAAAACATATCAAAGTCTTTAAGGATATTCAATTACTGATATCGAGATGACAACCATTTAGTGTTTCAAGCACTATCAAAACGATGAAAGATAATCGTTTGTAAAAAGTAAAATGCGAGTTATAGACTCAACATTTTATGAACCTGGATATTCAAGTTTCTGTTTTCTTCGGAAAACAGATCTTTAAATCCATTGAACGATAAAAAGACAAACACTGGCTTCGACACCGTTTGTAATTTACCTTTTCCGACGAAAGAAAAATCATGCATGAATATTTTCTCGTCATATTTCTATTGTATTGCCTTTGAGCATAAAGTGTAATTTTCAGTTGGCTTTTCCTCGTTATGTTGTAAGTTTCAACGAACTCACTGTAGTAAAGTTTTAGCTGTAAAAATAACCTTTGCGAAGAGTTGCCCAGTGTTTTGTCGTGATGTTGTTTATATGTTATGCTTTTGCAATTTGTATTCAAATTTTATTGGCCGTGTATGTTTGGCACTCAGGGAAATGAAACTGACGTACAAACCGCGTGAATATTCGACTTTGAAGGACTGGAACTGACGTACAAACCGCGCAAGAGACTAGGACTTTGTATTCATTCTTTATATGTGTAAAATGTATTGTAGTTATCATTCCAGATATATATATATGGTTCACTGTAAATTACCTGTTGTTACCATGGATATATCAACGGTACGTTTTATTCATATGACGTGTGTTTCTAAGTATCCACGTTTCACTGTCGTATACAAACATGTATTGTGTTTACAAGAAGAATCCTTAGCTTACGTCATGGACGCATACATTTTGTATAACGTCACATCCGTTTTAGCTGTCGCATAAATTATACTGTTTTTTCAAGCTCACAGGAACGGCTTCCAACTCTGTTTTGATATCATGTTTTATAATATGTTTTTATTTTGGTTGAAAGAACTTTAACACATAAAATAGAAGAAAATACGTATAAACAAAAGATACATTATCAAGCTGTAAATAAGTCATTTCGCTATAGCTTTCGAATTAGATATTTTCGAAATAAAATTACAATGTGAATCAATTTTATATTATACATTAATAATTTATGCGACAGTTCAAAAGAATGTAAATTTTGCTGGATAAGCTTTTCTTCATTTTTGTTATAAACCCAAACGAGGAAGTTTGAGCTTGTGACGTAAACTAAGGAATTATAAAATGAGCGATGATTATGAGAATGTAATGAAAACTGATTTGAAACTTTGAAAAAGACGTACATAATGTCAACTACGTATGACCGTGTAAATTTTTACCAATCCTCTGTTGTGAAAGTGTAGAGCGTGTTGTGTTCCATCTCTTGACCACTTTGCATTAGTGAACGCTTTTCAATGGCGTTGTTTTATTTTGAAACTTTTCTCTGTCTTTTGATTCGTATATTTTGTCATCCTTGATTCATTTTTACAGGATAACGTTCTCCTCGTTTCTGGTGGCGTTGACAAGAACATTAAAATTTGGGGTTTGGATTTTGGTGATTGTCGAAAATCAATATTCGCCCATGATGACAGGTACGCACAATGTAATTTTAAATGACAGATACGCAATTTTATGATAGTAATATATGATAGCCTGAAACAGTCGATTATATTCCTACTATACACTCGTATCCTATGTACATCGTCATTATACCCTATTAAACCCTCTTACCCTGGTTAGATCATTGTTTCGTCGTCACCATACCTCGTACGTCTATAACATACTAGTAAACCACGTCCTCAATTGTTTTACACGTAGATTTTTCCTGCATATTTTTTTACCCGCATGTTATCAACATTACACCCCACAATACCTACATGTACTTTCATTGTATACTTTATATTCTCATGTTATCAACATTACTCATAGTAATACCTACATGTACTTTCATTGTATACTTTATATTCTCATGTTATCATCATTACACCCCACAATACCTACATGTACTTTCATTGTATACCTTATATTCTCATGTTATCAACATTACACCTAGTAATATTTACATGTACTTTCATTGTATACTTTATATTCTCATGTTATCAACATTACTCATAGTAATACCTACATGTACTTTCATTGTACTATATTCTCATGTTATCAACATTACACCTACAATACCTACATGTACTATCATTGTATACCTTATATTCTCATGTTATCAACATTACACTTAGTAATACCTACATGTACTTTCATTGTATTCCTTTATATTCTCATGTTATCAACATTACACATAGTAATACCTACATGTATATTCGTTATTTATATTATAACAACTTTAATCTTCTTTTAGTGTCATGGCCGTGCAGTTCGTGCCGAAAACTCATTATTTCTTCAGTGCAAGTAAAGATAAAACGATTGGGACGCTGACAGATTTCTTCATGTTACGACCTTAGAAGGTCATCATTCAGAAATATGGAGTCTTGCAATCAGCCATGACGGCGAGTTTGTTGTAAGTGTCAAGTATGGAAGGTTTTAGATAATTTTAAACATAAGTTTGCTTGATATGAATGAAAGAATAAATGAAAACGTTATTATCAATAAGAGTACCATTTACTCAAAGATCAACACTTATTCTTAACACTCCAGTTCCACATGCATTTTATTTTATCTTATAGATCAGTGGGTCACATGATAAATCATTAAGACTTTGGGAACGAACGGACGAACCGTTGTTTGTCGAAGGAGGAGAGAAATGGTACTATACATAGATCTGTTGCTGGAGCTACAAAAATATGCATATAGTACCTGTACTTTCAATGTTTATTTTAATTTTTCTATTGAGAGAGGGAAGCAGCTTACGAAGAAAGCGCCGTAACAGGAGTTGAAACAATTGTAAGATTCTTTTACTATGTAACATGAGATATATATGTTCCATCTTGAGCCCAACTACTCTGTATTTGTTATATACTTTCACTATGGAAAAATCTTGTGGAAGTTGCATTTATTGCACTAAATAAATTCATTTATTTAAACCATGATGTTGTTTAGATTCCAGGTGAACAAGACACAGAAGCTGTTAAAGCTGGCAAGAAAACTATCGAGACGATCAAAGGAGTTAGTTTTGTTGTTGTATTAGCATTGCAAGTTAATTTTATTGGTTTTGTGCCCAGTCCCCCCTATAGTACCTGAAAGATACCTCAAAATCATACAGATATATCGAAAACTGTAGTACACCAAAGACATGTGAAGACTGTGCATATATGAGGCCAAATGTTTAAGCTTCCATTCAGATGGAGTACTTGGAGGATATTATAGTAGAATACAGATACTTGCAAGATAATACAGTTTGATTGTGATACTTGGATAATATTATAGTAGAATATAGATACTTGGGATAATACAGTATGATTGGGATACTTGGAGGATATTGAAGTATAATATATAATATACGCCTGAGATTACTATGTTGATGTTTGTTCTTATCTCTTCATTAGGCTGAAAGAATCATGGAGGCCATTGAATTGTATAAGGAAGAAAGACAGAAAGAACTTGAACATAAAGCGAGTCAAGTGACAAAAGACGTTAGGTTTGTTATTTTTGCTCTGCACATCTACAAAATGTTTATGTTTTACGTATAGACAATCTTAAATCTTAAATGAAAATCTTAAATAACCATGACTCTGCAACATAACAAAAACTTTACGAAACACTTAATTGGGCAACGCCCTACACTTTTATTAAACCCTACATGTGAAACCACCGCCACATTTTCACTCTAATTTGGACCACGCCCTGCATCGTTGTTTTACCCTACCCATGAAACCACCATAATATTTTCATTTCTAATTGGGGCAACGCCCTACACTGTTATTTAACCCTACCTGTGAAACCACCGCCAATATTTTCTTACTCTTAATTGGGACCACGCCCTGCATCGTTATTTAACCCACCCATGAAACCACCAATAATATTTTCTTTCTCTCTAATTGGGACAACGCCCTACACTGTTATTAAACCTCTACCAATGAAACCACCATTATTTTCATACTGTCTAATTGGGACCACGCTCTGCACTGACCTACCCATGAAACTACCACCAATATTTCCACACTCTAATTTGGAACCACGCCCTTCGCCCTTCACTATTGTCTGATTTATACAGAAAATCCCAGTTTCGTTTTTACACAAGTTCTTTTTGTTCTCACATACATTTTTCTTTTGAACAGCTTCAAAGCGCCATTCATCCGATTCTTGCTGCCTTTGGTAATGTCAGTGTAAGTTTATTATATCTTCAATGTTTCTATTTGAGAATAACATGAAGGCCACGTGATACAAGGTGAAAGCCACGTGCATGTTGAAGCATGATTAATGTAAATATTAATGTAATGGTAAGATTGCAAGATTTACATACGTACGTACGTAGATAAGGGAAAATGGATGAGATGGCTTTACATTTATAACAACTCTAGAAAAATGAGAGTTAAATATAAAATACACAGGATTTGTAATAATGAAATAAAATATCTTGACCACGAAGATGGAGGCCATAAATATTGTTGTTCTACGATTGAATGCCTGTCTATGTCAACCTCCTTTTCCCGGACCATAAACTTACGACGTTTGTAAATATTTTTTCTTCTCACAGCCTGTACAGTATGTACTTCTAGTGGTGAAAAAGTAAAGTCAAGGTAAGGTTGAAGTATTATAAAGAGCAGCAAATTATCCCGTGAAGAATCGTTGTTTGTACTAAAAGTTAATTTAGAGCATTTTAAACGTTAACATGGCAAAGTGTCTCGTTGGAGTTACTAAAGGAATTAAATATCAAGTGTTATTGAATACAGTAGAGGTATCTTATGAAGCAAGTGTTTTCTACAAAACATTTAAATTATTTAATTTCAGTGAACTTGAAGAATCGTTGCTTGTGTTACCGTTTGACTATGTTATTGATGTACTGAAACTTCTTCTTGAGTGGATTAAGGTGAAGTGAAATGTATTTTGACTCGTGTGTCATTAGTTCACATGGTACAGGTTTCCTTTTCAAATTTTGCTAATCCCAGATGTACGTGATTGTTTAGAATGGTTGGGAAACAGAGTTAAGTTGTCGATGTTTGTTCTTAAGATTGTAATTTTGTTTTGGTTTCGATCGATATTTTTTCAATATGTCTGTCTTTAAATCATTCCCTAAGAATTTCATCACGTTCCTTCAGTATTGCTGAATATATGATACAATTGGCGAGATACCTATGTACAATGCTGGATATTTTTCATTTTTTTCATATTTTGTTACGATAGAATACATCACAACAAGATCATATCCATTCCTGAACTACTGCCAGTAATAGACTCTATCAGATCACATTGTCGTAGCCGAGTTCGCGAAATGAAGGTAGGAAGTTGTACGTTTATGAAAACGCAAGTATCGCCAAATTTCTCCCGTAATTTTACCATGCGCTACACGAACTTACGTTAATTTATTCGTGGTAAATTTTGTCGACACTTTAATGACTGAAAGCTTAACACGAAAAAGTCGTCTATTTTGATTGGTTAAGAGCAATTAAGGCTTTCTTTCACATTACAGTGCCAATCTTAATACTGAGTTTGGCTTTGTATTAAAAAGATTCATAGAATATTCTTTTGTGTATTAAGAAGAGAAAAAGTATGTATTTAGAAACAAAATATTCAAGAGTATGAAGATTTCATTTTTCTAGTTTTTGATTTTTGCTAAATTAATCGTCTTGAGTTTTTGAATTGTGTACTAAACTGCCACAGATGACTTTTGCAATTATATGAACTGAATAAAGTTGTCGATGTTTGTTCTTTTGCGTAAATTAAGACGTAATTTTGTCTTTTGGTTTGATCGATATTTTTCAATATGTCTGTCTTTCAATCACTCTAAGAATTTTATGTTCCTTCAGTATTGCTGAATATATGATGAATGATACTATGAACTGGAATTTTTCATTTTTTTCAATTTTTTACGATAGAATACATCACAACAAGATCATATCCATTCCTGAACTAACATTGACTCTATCAGCACATTGTAATGATTGCTTTATCTTTAGGATACTGTTGATTCAATTTGGCGGGACTACAGTTTATTCAAAGACAGCTTGAGAATCGTGACGTCACATTCTTTGGCGAGACACGCGAGAGACTGGGACAAATACGAAAAAGAAGACAATTGTGAGGAAATTTCGATGAAGGTTATTGTTGTTGATACTTTGACAATTAAAACGATTGTCTTCAAAAGTACACAATGGCTTCGGTTGATTTCTGTCTATAGCCATCTTCGAAGATCCCTAACCCAAACTGTACCCCTAGAGGGACAAGGAAAATCCCCGTGTGCCCTTTAAATTACAATTTTCGTGATCAGCAGACGTTTAAATTTTGCATGATTCAGCAGTTATTGATACTGGGTCAGCCTTAAAAGCTAAAGAAAAGAATTTCGATCTTGGTATTTTAATAACTAAATAATGGGCTAGCCAGACAAGGACAATCGAGTCTTTACTTCTATGACATTGAAATACATTTTTGCGTCTAAATCTAGCTCCCAGCTACATAAATAATCTTACTGCAAACTGATTTCAGAAAAGTTAAATTTAAATGAAAGTGAGATCATCAAATTCAACATCACAACTATCGGTGAATACCTCCATCGAATGAAAATATAGAATTAAAATAAGCATTATATTGCCTAGGAGTAATTCCAACTATAAACAAGAAATAAATGAATCGATTAACAATTATTAAGCAATTCACCCATCTACAAAACATATAAACAAAAAATGTACTTTATGAGTTACCAAAATGAATACAGAAAAAACTGCATCCTCATATGACAAAGTAGTCTTCTGGTCATTTCAGCATTCAACAAAAGGGATGTAAAATTGTCATGGTTCTTCTAAGATATGGATTTATTTTCATGAAAATGACCCAACAAACACTTCACTCATTTTAAGGAGCTTACAACTTCAAAGTAGATAGATTGCAAACGTACTAATCTCATATACACTGTAAAAGTTCCATACAAGTTTCTTAGCTAACAAAAAAAACTGTTCCAGTAACTAAATGACTATTGAAAACTTGAAAATACAAATGTTTGTATTGAATATTATCAAGAATATAATTAAACTTTTTATATACAACTGTTGTTGTTAGGACTTTTAGTAAATTTTTCTTTAATTCACGGACTCCAAAAATCTTGTAGAAATGTAGAGGAGAGTACCAAGAACACGTAGATACCAAAGATAGATAATCCACGATAGATTTAAGAGCTAAAATTTCGAACGAAGACGAGCGCGTGATAAACAAACAACCGCCGATCGCACCAATTTATAAACTTTGATTTCTCGGCATGAAAAAGGACCAATTTCAGCCAATAAACTCTTTGAAATGATCGCTAGACTTTTAGCTACAAGATTATACCATAAAGTAAGGCCAATGAACAATTTTGAAGGAAGAAGATCAAAATTTCGAAGAGCACCGCCGGAAAATTCAATGGCCTTGCATTTTTGACCTTACTGTGGCAAGATATCAGGCCGTGTAATTTAAGTAGGCCATGAAAGCTTCAATGTTAATTTCTTTAGTATTGCTCGTTCATAACAATCTTTTGCTTTTGTACTCTCCCATATATCACTGTAAACCAAACCCAGATTGTTGTACGTTGTCACGATATTAACATGGTCTCCAAATGCTTTCGTTTGAATTTCCATCGCTTGTATGCAAAATGTTTGTCTTTTTCGTACTCTCCTATTTTACTAACAAAACCCAGATTGTTGTAAGTTCTCGCGATACTAACATGGTCAGGTCCAAATACTTTTGTGTAAATTTCTAATGTTCGTTCGTAAAAATCATTTGCTTTTTCGTACTCTCCCATATCACTGTAAACGAAACCCAGATTGTTGTACGTTGTCGCGATATTAACATGGTCAGGTCCAAACGCTTTTTTTTTGAACTTACATCGCTTGTTTACAAAAATGTTTGGCTTTTTCGTGTTCTCCTATCTTACTGTAAACAAAACCCAGATTGTTGTACGTTGTCGCGATATTAACATGGTCAGGTCCAAATGCTCGTTTGAATTTCTATCGCTCGTTCATAAAATGTTTGTTTTTCGTACTCTCCCATATCTATGTAAACCAAACCCAGATTGTTGTACGTTGTCACGATATTAACATGGTCAGGTCCAAATGCTCTCGTTTGAATTTTCATCGCTCGCATGCAAAAATGTTTGGCTTTTTCGTGCTCTCCTATCTTACTGTAAACAAAACCCAGATTGTTGTACGTTGTCGCGATATTAACATGGTCAGGTCCAAATGCTTTCCTTTGAATTTCCATCGCTTGAATACAAAAATGTTTGGCTTTTTCGTACTCTCCTATCTTACTGTAAACAAAACCCAGATTGTTGTACGTTGTCGCAATATTAACATGATCAAGTCCAAATGCTTTTGTTTTAATTTCTATTGCTTGTTCGTAAATATCTTTTGCTTTTTCGTACTCTCCCATATCACTGTAAACCAAACCCAGATTGTTGTAGGTTGTCGCGATATTAACATGGTCAGATCCAAATGCTTTCGTTTGA